AACGGGCGGCGCTGAACGCCCGGGTGGAGGAGGTGAGGCCGGGAGGGCGGCGGGCGGGCGGGAGATGGACGCCCGGGTGGAGGAGGTGAGGCCGGAAGGGCGGCGGGAGGGCGGCGGGCGGACGGGAGATGGACGCTCGGGTGGAGGAGGTGAGCGGCGGCCGGGCGGAGCTGGGCGCTCGGGTGGAGGTGAGCGGCGGGCGGGCGGAGCTGGGCGCTCGGGTGGAGGAGGTGAGCGCCCGGAGGGCGGGAGGGCGGAGCTGGACGCTCGGGTGGAGGTGAGCGGCGGGCGGGCGGAGCTGGGCGCTCGGGTGGAGGAGGTGAGCGCCCGGAGGGCGGGAGGGCGGAGCTGGACGCTCGCGCTCGCCCTCTCTCAGGGCTGGCTGTCGCTCGCCAAGGCGCGCTACGCCATGGGCGCCAAGTCGGTGGGACCCCTGCAGTACGCCAGCCGCATGGAACCGCGGGTCTGCGTGCGAGCCAGGTGAGGAGCCGGGCGGCGGGGGGCGGGTCGGCGGTGGGGGCGGGGGGCGGGCGGTGGGCCGTGGGCCGTGGGCCTGACCGCCCTGCTCCTGCAGCGAGGACCGCGACGGCCGCCGCACGTTCAGGGTGGTGAGCGCTGAAGCCCAGACCCCCGAGGAGCTGGGGCCTCGAGAGGCGGGTGAGTGGCTCTTCCGCTGTCCGGACCCTTCTGGCATGGCTGAGAGTACCTGTAAGGCTCTGGCCGTAGAGGTCCCGCGTTAGACTTTCGTGGGCAGAGCTAGCGAGGTCGGGCGTGTGGCTTGCGTTTGGAGCAGTTTCTCAGCCACAGTAAGTCGCGGTCGGCTGAGCAGAAGATAAAATGTGCGCTTCTGTGCTTGGCTATTTGGAGAAATAAACTTCTAATTCTAGCGAATCAGCCCTGAGGTAAAGAACAGGGGCTGCGAGGGTCCTTGTCAAATCTTTGGTCGTGTTCAGACAGAATGGGTGCAGTGCGTGTGTGGCCTCGTCAGGGGCGGATGGCTTGTCTGGGTTTTGTGGGGGCTGTGGGCGAGAATGCACGGGGGAGCGTGTGAAGTAGAGTGACGCTGTCTCCAGGAGCTGAGAAGGTCGGAGGGCTTCCCGGCTGTCATAGTCGCTTTGTGTATTTCGGGGACACAAAACCCAGAATGTACAATTTAAGGAAGGAGTGGTTTGGGCTCACATTTCTTTTTTCTTTTAAATCCATAATTTTATTGAGAAACAAATAGCAATAAGACAGTTTCAAGTCAAATTGGTTTCAGTAATTAACACATTGTATACTGTCTTTCTAGTGGTTATTTGTTGTACAATATACAGACATCCTATTTGCAAACGCTATTAGAACAAATTCCTGGGCTGGGGAGATGGCTTAGTGGAATAAGCACTTCCCTGGCAAGCGCAAGGG